TGGGGAATCTCTTTTCGACGCTGAGTGTTTGACATTGACGGTGGGATGTGACAAAAAAGGAGCCAATAGCCGCCAAACCTTTCTGGTCGGTTTTCATGTGGACTCGTGGAGGGCTGTTGCGGAACAGAGCAGTGAGGGCGTGTATAGTCGATTCCGAAAGCGGTTTGGTAACATGACAACAGATGAGGTGTATCGCGACGTGATCCAGTTCGAATGGCGGGTGAGGGACTCGATACCATTATACCGAATGCAAGTCTCACGTACTCGACGTGGTTACTTGGTCAATATTCCATCGTGCATTTTGCCGGGCGACCAGATTTGGGTGATGAGGGGGATTTGAGAACCTCTCTTGTTGCGGAGGAGTGATCTGCATCCAGGTTGCTATCGGCTTGTGGGTGCATGTTACGTCCACGGAATTATGGGGGGAGAAATTTTGGAGAAGGATGGGCTGGAGTTTGTTCAAGTTGCAATCCACTGATCCATTGGGATTTGGGGTCTTTTAGGCCTACCAGATGAAATTTGGTGGAAGATTGGAGATTATCCGGGGCCGACGAGAAAAGGAAGGAGAAGCCTGACTGCCCTCAACCTGGAACCTGCCACCAAAAACAAATTCGGGCTCCGAGTATTCCAGGTTGAGTTTGGCAATTCAGAAATCGACCTCGAAATCCAAAAAGTCCGAGTCCATCCAAAACCAGGAAATCGGATCATAGCCAAGATGGTGACCACCACCACACACAAACATTCACAATGTCCGGTTGCAACCTCCGCGGTTGTCCGATCAGCAAAAGATGTCGGCTAATCTATCTTCAATATCTCCAAATTACTCGCTTCTTTCCCGCCTTCGCGTACGGTGTCCGTCTGTGAGGAACGGCCAGGGGTAATTGGAGATATATCCGCGTTGTCAGGCTCGCTTGTCGCCATGTCTTGTCAAAATCCTGGAGAGCATCATCGTTGCCGACATGGATTCCAACAAAACCTGCTCGTGGAGGCTCCTTGCGCGGGCTGCTGCTATTGCTTTGCTCAGTGCTCCAACCGCACAAGGCCTCTTTATCGGTGGTGGACTGACTATCCTATCCACCAATAATCTGGATGGTAAGTTTGTTGGCAACCTCTGAATCTCTGATCCAAACATCATCTGACGCAATACCAGGCGCCGAGAACGACAAGTCTGCCGCTATACTCATCAACCAACCCTGCGCCAACTATGCAACCCGAATTAGCTGCCAGCTACTCGGCGAGGCCGTATGGAACCCCGATAACGCCAACTTCAAGACAACCCTAAACAAATCCTTACAATACCAAGCATTCCTGGGCCTTGTTCCACAAGATCAACTCTATTGGATTGCCAAGCGCTCTGCGGATGGCGATGCGTGTCGCGCCATTGATGCGACGGGCAAGATTCGAGATGTAGACTGTTCGAGCGAGCTTCCCACGCTCTGCACCCAGAGTGCCGTTGTGTCGTCCGGCAAAATCAACGACAATTCTCCCAACTTTCAGGTACAGCAGTTTATCGGAAACAAGTTGGTGACAGGATATCGCGATTATCATGTCTGGAAATTTCGTGGCCTTCGATTCGCCGACAAGCCGGAACGCTTTGCATATTCCAAAGTTGCGAGCTACGAAGACTCTGGCGAGATCGATGCCACAAACGCTGGAGCTGATTGTTCTCAGCCCGTCGGGGAAGTCAAGAACGGCAGCAGTGAGGATTGTCTGTTTGCCAACGTATGGACCCCCTACCTGCCTCGCATGGGAAACCAGGACAAGAAGGAACAACTGAAACCAGTTATGCTTTACCTCTACGGTGGAGGACTCACATCTGGTTCTGGAAAGAATCCAAACACTGACGGAACCAATCTCGCCTCGAGAGGGGATGTGGTGGTTGTGTCTGTCAATTATCGAGTCGGGACTCCTGGCTTCTTGAATCTCAACGACGGCATCCACAAGGGTAATTATGCCATCTCGGACATGGTGACAGCTCTGGAATGGGTACAAAGGTACATCAAGTTCTTTGGTGGTGACCCAAATCGTATTACCCTGTTTGGAGAGTCAGCTGGTGCTGTAGGAACGCACATTGTTCTGAGTTCGCCCAAGGCCAAGGGATTATTCCATCGAGCGATACTGCAATCCAGTCCGGATGGATACCCGAATGAAGGAAAGCTGTCATCTGCGCCAACATACGATTCACTTTCGAATAACTATGCAAAAGTTACGACCAAAGTCTTGAATGACGCAGGGTGTCTGAATGCAACGGATAAGATTGCCTGTCTTGGCAAACTCTCTGGTTTTGAGCTGGTCAACCTCAACACCAACGCAAAGTAAGTACATGTACATGAACTGCTCATTGTATACGTAGCACTAACGTCCCTGATTCAGCGGCGTCGTTCAAGATGGAATCTACCTTACTACCTCGGGTCTTCCAGTTGCATCTCCGTCCCTTTCGGTGTCGTCGAATGTGTCCGTAATGCTCGGCATCACTCGGGACGAGGTCGGTGTTCTCATCGACGACGCACCACCTGCAAATGTGTCAACAACATTTGCCAACTACTTCAACGGTTTGGCGTCAAAACACTTTGGCCTTCCCCAGGATACCTCGTCAACGCTCAACATTTCCCCAGCGGTTATTTCTCAAACATCAAATGACGCCATCTTCAACTCCTCAATGTCTCTGCTCAGCTCAATCATATTCACCTGTCCCTCTTTGGCCAAGGCCTACTCAGCCTCCCGTCACGGCACCTTCAAGGAGGTTTACTACTTTTCCTTCAATAGGACTTATCAAACAAATGGGTATACTCGACCATGGTGCACTCCGCCCAAGACGACCAAATATCCAAATGGTGATCCCAACCTAGAGTACTACAAGTGTCACGCAGGGGAGCAGACGGTGGTCTTTGGATCTTCTTCCCGTGGTGGATACCCTGACAGAGATGGAAATGACTACAAATTTCAAAGACTGGTGGTAGACTACTGGGCCAGCTTTGCAAGAACAGGAAAGCCTGACCCCGAGACAAAGTACCTGGAGGTTAGGGGATTCTTGGAGACCAAGAAAGAGCTAGAGAGGGTTGGAAAGTGGGAGCCGGTCGACTGGAAGGCCCCAAAGATGAAGGTGTTGCAGTGGGGAGGAGTCAGCATGATTGGATTTGGAGATTATGGACAAAAAGAAGTATGTGAAGCTGTGAAGATGCCGTTGGGTATATTGGAGGGGACTCGGAAGTAGATGCTGGATGGAGGTTATATGAACTGACATTTTTGTTCTTCATTCCCTTTGCTGGTTACAAGTCCACTGGCACTCTATAGATAAGAGAAACTCCACCTGTTAGATCTTTAAAAGGAAGAATCAACGTTGGATGGTCTGTACCCACAAAAATGAAGCCCAAACCTCGGTCTACAGAGACAACGGACTTGAAATCCGTCTGCAAGTCTGACCAATGAAATTGTTTTTCCACGGCGCTATTTGAATCCTTCATGTACCCCACCTACACCCGAACTCCGATGTTTCAGAAAAGTTATTATCATTCAAAGAAAATAAAAAGTCCCATGTTTTAAGAGACCCGACAATTTTTCCAAACCTTTCATCATCTCGCCGTCAACAGCATTGAGATAATTCGACAATGCCACCTCCACAAAACAAACTCATCCGCGGCTTATTAGCCCTCCCGATACTATGTCTCGCCATAGCTGCCTCCCGAGTCATGGATGTCAAACCCGTTTTGACAGAAGCAAAGTCCATGAGGGATGCAGGCAAATTATTTTTTGGGGAAAACGTGGACGTCGACATAATCAGGGAATTTTATCGTTTGTCTCCTGGTTTTGACGGTTTTGTCGCAGAGGTCAACATGTTTTTCGTTCCGGGAATGTATGGACTTTCTCAAGAGTGTAGAAAGCAAATGGTGACGTTTATTACGGAGGGGATGGTTTTGTTGATGATTTGGGGGTTTGAAAGTGGGAGGAGTGGGGTGGTTGTTAGGTTGTGAGTTATTCTCTCTTTCCTGCTCACTGTATCCAAACCTCAGAGTGTGAGTTTAGTGCTGACTATTTGTGCAGCCCAAATCTGTTTGCCTTGTTGGGTCAGTTGCTTGGAATAGGTGTTTTATCACCCCTTTGGTGCTTTTTGCAGTATACCTTTAGTGGTAAACAGCAAGAGGTTACAAAGACTAGATGGACTTTGGCTTCTTTTCCTGCGGTTATTTTGGCGTTTTTGTTGCCTTTCTATGGGGTTTTGTTCGTGCCGGATTTGGAGATGAGACAAAAGTTGTTGTTTGTCTGGCAACTTTATCCTATTTACTTGTCTGTTGCGCTGTTCATCTTTTCGAGACTGTTCAAAGACAGCAATGATAAGCAGAGGGACTTTACTGTCAAGAAGATTTATATCGGGATGGCGAGTCTGATGGGAGCAGCTTTGTGGGTTTCTAACGCATGGTTTGGAAGTGGGATTAAAGAGACTTTTATCCCGACGGATATTCCGAGTACGGGAGTTGTGGAAGGCAGGTTGGACTTTTTGGGCTTTATAGTACAGTTTATGAGATGGGATGGGGTGTTTTCTTTTGGTTCGCATTTGTTGTGGATGGCTTATCAGTTTTGGGATTTGAAGGCGGAGGGGTTGTTGGAGGAAGGGTGGTTTAAAGTTGTTGGGTTGATGCTGCTTGGGGTGCCGGTTGTTGGACCGGGCGCCTCGGTTGGGATGGCTTGGTTGTTTAGGGAGAATATTCTTGTGACAAGAGGTCAAAAGGTGCACGAGAAGAGGGCTTAGGTTTCAAAAGTATCAGAAGATGCGCAGGAGCTGCGCAGACGATGAGAGGCTGTATTGGTAATGTGGGTGGGTGGTTTTAAGGTGGTTTCGGTGAATAACAAGAATGATGAGGATAGCAAGTTCATTCAATTAAAAAGAACTGAGTGGTGCATGAAAATGAACAAACTTTGAACAAAAAAAAGCGCCAAACACTCTCAGATTCCCCAGAAACACAATTTGATGATATTGAGCTGAGAAAAAGCTCAAAATGAATGGGCCGAGCCAGGGCTCGAACCTGGGACCACTTGCAAGCTCATTGAGCAGGAGGAAGAACCCAAAGCAAGTATGCTACCACTACACCACACGGCCTTTGAGTTATTTGATGGGAATAAAGACTCGTTGCGGAGCTTATGAAAGGCGGAGTTGTTGAGGCGCAGCTTGCAGGACCAACACCAAACCATTGTTTCCACTTTTGGCGCGCTATCTCCATTTGGGATCCAGTGATCCACATTTGAAAAGGGGTGAAGACTTTGGAGTTTGGTATTCTACATATTTAGTCTACCTATGGGAAAAGCACTCGGTCACTGCTCAGTACGTTAGACCTAAGGCACTTCGCAACATTATCTAGTGGAGGTCTTCTCCTTTCGGAAGCTGCAAGAGAACCTGTTTTCTCGGTAGCTAACCATAGCTTCTCGTTTCGACTTAATTCGATACTTCACACATGCTTCGATAGCATTATGTCACTGTCCGTTCAGGAATTCTGCGTTTGATATGGGTGAATATTTACAGCGGCTTTTCGGATCAGTACATATAAACATGCATGATAGGTAGCATCAATTTCTCTTGCTTAATGACGGTGATAATGATTAATCTCTGTTTGTTCTGATCTACATAGCCATAACGAGGGAGATGAATTGTTCTAATTGCATTTGTTTTTCCGATTTACTCAGATGTGTGCAAAGTAAGGTTCTGAGTAAAGTCAGGCTGTGTGGTTGTACAAACGATGCTAATTATACCTATGATAATGCGGGTGGCGCGCTTCACGGCCAGCTGAAGGCCGTATGGGCGTGGATGCGTATCTAGTTGAGTTGGCGCCATACCCCACATGCGCCTAGGTTTGGTGACCATCGTGAGGGTTGTGATTAAATTGGAAGACAGCCCCCACAACTTGAAATCTGCGTAGTCAAAGTAGACTACGCGTCTGCGACTGGTTTCGGGGCTGTTGCAGCTATCGCTTCATTTCATCTAGGGATGCCGGTATCATTCATTTATGCAGGCCAGCCACGCCCATAGGCAGACTACATGTAGTACCTGTCAGAAGAAACCATTTCATGTTCATTAGTCAGACAAGATGGATATTGGAATCGAGCGCTTGCGTTTTGAAATCTGGAATCCATGAAACTCGTGCGGCTGGTTTCAGACTTAGGCGAGTACAGCCTTAGCTTCAGCAACGCTGTAAGTAGTTATTTGGGATAGTACCATATTATAGGCCGATATCGTGGGCATTCAACATGCACAAAATTAGGCAATTACTATACTATATAAGACCAGACCCTTTTATTGCCTTTTTTTGTTCTGAATTTTTCGAATTGACACCATAGATCCTTTTCTTGTTCTTTTCCCCTCCTTGCTACGCTCCCGGCTGGCCCGGTTATACTTAATTATCCCATTGACTTTAGATATCATTCGAAATCGCTTAACCAACTGAACGAGTTGAAGTCGCTCATACAAAGACATAAAAAACTCAAAGACTCAACCATCCTTTCTACCAGGCACGCAATAATGACAAGCTCTGGAACTCAGGGTCGGCCGATTCTGAACAGAGAAATTCCTAAGCCTAAATATACGGGAGCCAAATATACAGTCATTGACTGGTACCTTGATGAGCGGACCTTGGAAAACTATAAGGCTCTAGAGCCATCCTTCTTGAAAACGTCATTTCAGGACGTATCAGCCGTTGAGAAATTTTTGAAACAGGTAAAGTATACTTGTCTATTCAGTATATACAGCCCGGGCGAGGATTTGAAGCTAACAACTAAAACATTTCATTAGCCATGTGATAACGTCATTGTCTATCTCCGAGTTCTGTCAGTTTAGCACAAATACTTTCTCCCAACTACTCCTACTCAATCTAATTCTTTGCTAGCCATACCATCAATGCCGAAAAAGTTCTTCAAGGTTTCGGATTGCGTGGAGTCCTTCTCCAAGACGGGGAAATGAAGTTCACAGATCACACGTCTCATGAATCCTTCCTAAGAGGAACAACCGATGGGCATGCCTGGATCACAGGGCCCTCTTATGCGGGCTGCTCACTTGACTACCTTTCCATTTGCAAACAAGACTCGGGAAGCTGTTCGAGACAGCGGGATTCGATTATACTAAGCTGTGAAAAGTCAGGATCCGTAAAAGCGTTTCAAGCGTGCCGTCGCAGAGTGTCGGTAGGCTTTCGACGTAATAATGGTGAACACCAAAGACCTGTGGTCGAACTGTTGATAGCCGAGAACTCTCATCATGACGGTTTCTATGACTTGAAGGAATTGCCGCACGAAAGTGAGAGGCCGGCCCAGCCTCCACAACTCGAGGTTAATTTGACTAAGATGACTAACTCACAGCGTGCTCACTGGTATTGGTATTTTTTCTGAGGAGTCTGTAATGGCCTACATATCATCTATTTTCGATTACTGGAACGAAACCTGGCGTAATCTGGTGGACGAAGCATTTTTCCACCATAGTTTGATAGTAAGCCATGATTCACAAAACTACAAAATGAACCAGCAGTGTTATTTCGTTATTAACTTACCGTGGTACTATCAGGAGGAGATACTCTACCCACATCCGGACGACGACTCTCCGACCATGAATTTGTGGTTGGCCTCAAAAGCCTGGCAAAATCTTGCCCGGGACACTCGCGCACATCAGGACGCCTTAGAGAAGTTCTTTGCGACCCTTGAGCAAGGGTTTCCTCACCTTATAACCAGCAAGGGCAGGGTCGAAGCTTTCAAAGATTCATTTTCTTCGCTCAAATTGGCTATTAAGCGTTGTAAGACTGAGGTGACTGAAAAACTCATCGTACCAAATACTAATCTGTTGGACATGGTCAGTAGATTTCCCCTTTACCTCTAAATCCAACCTTATCGCCAGCTAACGAAGTACAATTCGAATAGATTTATAAGTCGATTGCCATTAGAGACTCCCGGCGTTCTCTTCATTTCAGTGCGAGCATGTGGAGACTGAGCTGGATTACGATTATCTTCTTGCCCTTGACCTTCGTGGCGGGGTTTTTCGGCATGAACATGACAACTTTTAAGGATAGTATCCTACCGATTTATTGGTAAGCCCTCTGAACTACAGCCTCTTTGATGGTATTCTCTCTAGTCCCTGACTGCTAACTTAAGTGATCAGCAGGTATGCTGTGGCAGCTAGTGTCTGTGTAAGTGACTGCGTACCTACCTAATTCAGAGGTGGAGGCGAGGGCGACCTCACGTGAAAAATGACATATCATGCTGCGCCCGAGCTAACGAAAAGTGAATAGTTCGTGGTTCTCTTCATAATTTTACTGCTAGTGAAGTTCCTCGAAAAACCATTGAGAAAGCTCAAACTGAAAATCAAAACGAGGCTGGGCAACATTTGGCTCCGGTGGCGATCCTCTAAGTCCAACGCTGCCCATCGACGATTAGAGAATGGACAGTCTGCATCCGAGTCAGACCCGCATAAAACTCAAGATCGACACATTTGGTGGCTGTTCAAACCTTTTGTAAAGGTTTTAAGAAAGCTTAAAACGAAGGCTGAAGAGAAACGTAACCGCGGGGAGAACGGGGCCAGTCAAAATTGACTTGGATATCGAAATGAGCTGGGGGTGTGATGTGTTCTAGGGGATAGGAACTGGAACTCCACACTTCATTTCTTTTGTGGCGGAATAGATACATAGATTACTAGATTGCTTCAATTTCTTTTCAGTCTTTCTTGCCGTACATGTTGCACATGAGTGAGAAACTCAAACAAAGCATAGTTTGGTATGTACCCGTAGTATGGACAGTTTACACCAATACAAATCTACCTAACGACAATTCCAACCAACATAAAGACTTTTCTAAGCAACCCAATAACCCAAGCAATCCTGTCAAATAAATGTAAAGAAAAAGAAAGGAAAAGCTCAAAAGACAAAGGAAACAAATAATGAGAGACACAAAAGTAAAGAGACCCTTTCCCATAGAATCAAACCAACCACATACATACCCTAAACCCATCCCAGCATTTAACAACATTATCCTACCATCTAAAATAACCAATCCAACCAGCTAGTAAATCTCCTCTTGGGAAGTTCATCAACCTTATTTCCCTCAAAATTCTCCTCATCATCATCACTCTTCTGACCTCCCTCCCACAGAGAAAAACCTCCCGGCATAACAGCCCGTTTGCGAACAACCATAGTGACTTTCGTCCCCCCCGGTTTGCCACAAACAACCATTCCCTTTTCAATAACCTTTATCGCATTCCCATCCTTCCCTTCTGCATCTCCGCGTCTAATGAAGGCAGGAGAAACTACCAAGACTACTGTCTTTCCTTTTCCTACTTTTACTTCCTGGTTTGTCGTGATCATAGTTTCAGAGTCGAATTGAATTTTGCCGTGGGTATCAGCGACAGGATACTCGCAATACCACCAAGCAGATTGCAGGGCTAGATCAATTTGGAATTGAACTGCTTTACGAAAAATATCGTCTAGCCCACGGATGGCGAGTTTATCGTCAGTTCTAATATTGATTTCATCACGAGTTAAGGTGCGAAGTTGGGTGATCTTTTGGTCGATTTGGGTTTTATTTGGGTTGAAGGGGATCATTGTCATGGTATTGTCTAGGGTAACTGAGGTGGAACTGGTAACCCAGCTCGGGTTGACCTTGGAGAAGAATTGAGCTTTATTACCTTCAAGTTTGTTAGTTAATCGGGTTGAGGTGAAGAAGGACAGAGATGGAAAACATACTTTGGTCCTTAACGATGCCGGAGTTGACATCCCAGGAAATCTTTCCATGGGGATTGGAGGCGGTAGAAAGTAGATGTTGGATCAAGGTGCGCCAGATGATGGCTTGTAGGGTGAGACTAGAGGTTTGTTGGTCTGAGGAGGTGATGCTGGCGGATTTTTCGTGGCGGTGCACCCATTGTTTGATTTCCCAGGTGAGGGAGCTCCATCGACGGGTGATTTCGGCTTCGGAAAGGGCACCAGCGGCGGAGGAGGTGATTATTTGGGCTGTGTTGGGGGTTGCCATTGTGATTAGGGCTTAGAGGTGTGAGATAATTGGTGATACAAGGTGGTTTCTGTTGCTGATTGTAGCTGGAGTGACTGATGTCTGGAAAGATTTGAAGCATTGAAATCA